TATTAAACTTGCTTAAGATGACTTTGATACACAACTTCTGCATCTCAAAGATTCTTCCTAACATGCCTGAATCTGGCATCCGATACGGAAGAATATATTGTTTTAGATAGTTAATAGTTTTTAAATAGTTAAAATTTCTAAATAAGACTCTAGATAGTTTTCTAAATACTATTTTTGCTTGTTTTTAAATTGCGTCTATTAATGTTAATTTTTATCTTTTTATAGTGATAGTGTGAAATTATTTTAATATTAATTTTGTCTTTATGTTTTACAGAGGGCCACAAGTTTATCAGTTGTTACCTAACCGTTACCTTACCTAATATGGATTTGTATTCATTTTGCCGTTTTCGTTGTTTTTCTCCCTTTCCTTTCCTTTATTAATTTCTTTTTTATATATGTATTTTTTTATATCGTTAGTTTTAACGCTTTCTTTAGCTCCTTTCTTCCATCAAGGGTAATCCGAAGGTTCAAGCTTTGAAACATCAAAAAAATTGTTAAAAGAACTAATTTAAAATAAGTATTGTCTGGGCGGTGATCTTGAGAGATTTTCGCGGTTGACCCATGTCTGACTGTTTCAGTTGAGTAGAAAAAAACTCCTCCTTTTTAAGCCTTTACCTGTTCTTCGGGGTTTTTCACAGGTGGTTTGACAATTGTATCATAAAAACTCAGCAGTGAGCAAGCTTTTTTTAAAAAAAAAAACCAAATAGATGGTTAAGCCTAAGAAATCAAGATTACAACCGAAAGGAAACAATATAATACACGATGAATGCTTCGACGTGAGCTGTAATTGCCTGGGAATAGGTAATCTGTAGAGAACAATACGTTCCGCCGCGGCTTTTCTGTTGATTGGCAACGGTTAAATTGAAACCATTGAAAACCATTTTTTCAGTTGAAAATTCAAAGAATAGCAGGTAGAAAACGATTTACCGTAAACAGACATTGTAATATTTGGCAGCGCAGGAATCACGCTATTGGTTCAGTATAGTGTTGGGTACTAAGACTCATTTAGCCGGTGGCTAAAATGTTGTATCGCTCCATCAACTTCTGGCTGTTGGACTTGACTGCAAGTCTACTGGTCTTCATAAGTGCATGGTACGGCAAAATGACACGAAGAAGAATGCAACTAAGAGGGGAACGAGAGACAGTCTCCTCCGCGAGCAAAGTAAAGCCGGCGCAAAGCGATGAAGTCATGACTTGGAACCTAGGAACTACTTTGTGGCGATTGTTTTTGTACACTGGTTATTTCGCGATGATGGCTTTGTCTGTTGTCATATTTCAGTCCCATCCATACTTTATGATCTTTGTTCAGCACATCACTGTGATCTTCTCCATTTGCGTGGCTTTTCTCCAGTGGTTCCAACCGTTTTTAGCGTTGTGTCTTGGAGGCTTCTTCTCCGTAACCTGGATTGCCAGCGCCTCTACCTCCTTTCGTTGGGTTATGAATGACATGGTCATTGCTTTGTTTTCGATTCTAGTCAGTCATGTACATTTTCGAAACTTTCCTTCACTGCAAATGTTTTTATGGACTGCTGTTGTCTACGACATTTGCCTCGTGAAAGTACTTTCAAGCGGTCTCCCTTCACTGCTTAGTAAATTTAGCTGCAAAAGCGTGCTATGTAATGCGTTTGAAATCAATAACGAATGGGAACTTCCAACTATTTTCACATTTAAGCTGGGCCCACGAGAGGGCCACGTATTTCTTGGTGCTGGTGATATCGTTATTGGCTGTATTGTGGCCAATTTTTCACAAATGTTTTTCAAGTCTTCCAAATACTTATCAGGGACGGTGTGTAGTTACGCTTTAGCGATCGCCTTATTGAGCAGAATCGAAGAAGAACCATATCCTGCCTTAGTCACCATTGTTCCACTATGTACTTGTCAATTGGTGCTGTCAGCCTTTTTGTCACGTAAAGCCAAAAAGTTGTTCTCATTTACGTGCTTTGATAGAGATAGAACAGCAGGAGGGTTGGGCCGAGATATAGAATTTGTGATTTAACTACAAGCTTTGATTTCATGTCCACGAAATGGCTGTTTACCGTTTTGACATGTTTTGCTGGAAGGGAACTAATTGTTGATTCGTAACCGATTTTGACAAAGCTGAAAGAATCAAATTCAATGCAATGCAAAGAAAGACATGAGATTTCGAAGAGATTCATTTTACTTCAATTTCTTAAATTAGGACTAAAATGAGAAAATTTAACTGTCCCAAGTAATTCTTCTGCATAAACTCTACACTCGAAACTACATATTTTTTAGTAGCAGTTTTATGAACAGTAAACCGGGGACAAACATGGTCAAGTGATATGACGTTTGCCGTAAACGTAATTCCAGCCTAAAACTCTCTATTTAAATATCTGGTTTTGAAGTTTAATAAATGGGCATCAACAATTACCTTGTTTATACTATGATTCATTATAATCCTTGTAGAACTCCTTTCTCAGTTCCCTCTGGCCTGCGTGGCAGGCGTTCGAAAAGGAGAGGAATTTGGTTGCGAGACCGCGCGCGAGGGATAAGGGAGGAGGGGACGGTTCCTTTTCCTTTCCCTTGCGCGCCTTTCGCGCTTCTCGCGCGCCCGGAATCTCATTCCCATTTCCTTGTAAACCTGCCTCACAGGCTACACGCACTCTGCCTTCAATGCTGGTTAACTTGAATTTTCGACATTTTGATTCTTGACAGGCTGAGCACTATTACGGCTATTCCATGCTGATGAGCCCCAATAAGGGCGAAACAGCTGTCCATGACTGTCACTGCCAGGGCGATATGGCTGTGCGCATGCGTGAGGTACTAGCCAGGTCGTGGGTTGGTGTATATGTGCCCCTTGCTTTAAATTTGTCTTTTAATGGGTGGGCCGGAAAATATCTTCTGATAACCGTGTAGTCAAAACCGCAACCTCATTTAAAAGATTTATCCTCCAATCAACAACAACAACAATTATCGTAATTAGTAAAAGAATAATTAGCGCAAGACATTCTCGTCCTCCCCAAACTAGCATGGTCGCTTTTTTAGGCGGAGACAGGATAGAGATTCAGTAAGTTCGACAGTCCTCCAGATAATTTCCACGAGAAAAGTGAAGAGGTTTCCAAGCTTATTTACCTACGATCTATTTACATACTGTAAAAGAAGGTTTTCAAAATATGGCAAGAACACGCAATTTACACAACCTTAATCAATATTTATTAAGGATAGTTCATATACTGAACAACTCGTTAGTGGATATCTTCTTATGATGTCCAATAATAACTTGATTTTTTTTCCAATAGTATATACAATACACCAGCAGAAGTTCTTTATATAGTTTTTCTCAATACGATCAGCATAATGCTACAATTCAGGAATTTTTTACAAATAAGGAAAATAAATGTTACTGATACTATTTGTACAATGAAGACTGTGCATCGAGTAATTCATTTATGACACTTGTCAGTCATGAAAAATGATCTGATTGTTAGAATCTTATGTGTAACGAGGGAAAAAGTGTCGAATTGTGGGGAAGGGAAAAAGGGAGAGGGATTGGGGCGAGTAAGCTCTCTTCCCTTTTCCCTTTCGCGCTTTCCCCCGTCCTCTTTTTCGCTGATCAGGTCTCTATGGATCCTACGTTCTTCGGCATATTTGCTTCCGGTCCTTTGCAGTCCTTTGTGGTTAATGTTTTTACATCAGGTATAGCCTACGTGGCAGGCATTTGAAAGGGGAGAGGGAAAGGGAGTTTTAGGCGCGAAAGAAACGCGAGACCGGGCTCTCCTCACGTTTCTCTCACGCCTAAACAACTCCCTTTCCCTCCCCTTTCAAATGCCTGCCACGTAGGCTACATCAAGCAGTAAAAATTTGTAAAAATATTACAAGCTTTAAGTTAAACTAACTTAAATTATATACAACCTAATTATATACAACTCCTAAAGAAAAAGCTTGCTTTACGTGAATGCCGTGTCGGAATGTCTTGGCAACTTACGAAATGAAGTTAGCGTGGCTGCCTGCCTAACGTTCGAATGTAGTCTGTTCCAGGGAACCGCACCACCATAGCTAAAGCTATTTTTGTAATAGTTGGTACTAGCAGGGGAACAGCAAGCTTATTTGCAGAATTTCAGTCATAACGGTTATATTGATGTCACTACGTGGAACAAATTTACAATCCGGTGATAAGCCGTTTGAGGAAATATAGACCATTTCTGCTTTAAGAATCTGACGTTGAGTCTCTAGGTTATCCCAATTTAGTTTTTTTAGCAATTGGGGAGCGTCAGCTTCATAGTTCGAGAAGGTGAGTACACAAGCTGCACGATTTTGGGGTTTTTGTAACTTATTAGAAAATGTTTTACCACAGCTACCCCATACAACACTACACAGAATCGAACAGTTCGGTCTGAGGGTAGAATCCTGAGTCAAGGTCGGTTTTGCTGCGTGAAATCCAACATGGCTACGATCATGAAAGGTTCATTTATTGTAAAATCGAGACGAGCGATTCCTCATATGAGAAATAGTAAGGTAAGTACACGCAGTGGGGGGCTCAAGTGTTACTCTGAGATTACTGCAAAAATCGATGGGCATTCCGGATCTCAAAAAGCGCTCTATTCAGCACACGTATATAATGTTCCTCGAGATCGCTTGTCAGCGGACTTTTAAAGGCTTGCAGGATCAAGCCAAGGGTCCGAAATAAGTTGTTTGTTGATTGAGTAGGATTTCTAAACTTTTTCCTAGCCTGAGTATTATCCCCAATTGTCTTTTTCTCAGTACTTTCTATTTCTCTTAACCGATTATCTATGGAGCGTTTTACACCACGTGGGCTTGCTCCTGTTTTTGGCACGGTACCATTCATATCGTATGGGGTGTTACTATTGCTTGGAGATTGGTTGGTTGCTTGAGTGGTGTTGGCTATGACGTCGATGTGGACAGTACCTGTATCTTGGCCTGAAAAGGCTTGTCCAATCCCCACTTGCTCGGCGTTTTCCAGCAGCACAGAGTCATTCGATTTCACCCTGGTTCCCAGACTGAGGGTTCTCTGAAACTGCATGACGGGCTGATTTTGCACTTTTGTTTGATCAGAGGGTGTGTTGTGAATACTTGGGGCAACTTGTAGAGTTCTTAGTTCCAGTTCACCAGTTATTTGTGAGGGAGAAAACAGCTGGCCACCACCTCCATCAAGGATACTGAGCAGATCGTTCTCTGACAAGTTGAAAGGGATGGGGTTGTTTTCATCGCCCAGAATGTTTAAGATGTCTATTAGATCCTGATCCCATAAACTAGCCGCACTTTGCCCTGCAGCAGTTAACTCCATCTCTGTGTTTTGAGCGATGCAGCTGGTGATTTAAATAAATATATAAACACGTTAACTGGAAGATTCCCATTCTGCGTACTAGGCAGGTGCCAGTTGTTTTAGAACGAAGAAAAAAATCTCGAGGATCACAGATACTCTACTTTATTTCGTAATATTACTTGCACATAAATAAGTTAGCACTAAAGATTTATCTTTGGATGAATTCAAGGATAAAATCAGTTGGAGGTATGACTTCGAAAAACTGCTTTCTTCAATTAGTAAGAATTCATCTTACCGGAATAATCTGTTAATTAACAGGTCTAATGCTATTGCGTTTTCGCTTTTATGCAATTTGGTCCAATCTGTAATACATGTACTGTTATACACTTTCTTTTTGTTTTAAAATTTTGTAACTGTATCATGTGTAAATAAACGACTATTTAAAAAATCTTTCTCTGAACCAAAATCCCATTCTGAGCCTCTGTTCAAATCTCTCAACCCAACCTTGTTCCCAGGGTTCTCTCCTACCCGCCCTCCGGAGCGAGTGGGAGAGAACCCTGGGAACGAGGTTGCTCTCACCCTACGTAAGCTCAATAATGTCATTGAATCACAGATACTCTCTTTTGTTTATCAGTAGTCACGCAGACTGTTACCCCCCACCCCCCGTTTCAGTGAATATTTCAAATTTACCTTTACGGTTCATTGCTATTCAACGCGGCAATTATGTAATAGAAATTTATATGTAGCCTCAGTTAATACCACCCAATATGGCTTACGCTCCCTAAAATTCACTGGTCCTCGCCTTTGGAACTCCTTGCCTACAAGTATAACTAATTCAGATTCTCTTAGAATATTTCGTAAAACCCTTAAGAACGCTATCCTCAAATTATATTCTAATTAATTCTCTGCCTTAGCGCATGAAGAAATCCTTTTTATAAAATAGATATATTCTTAATTCTGTCTGTAATTGTATTTTATTGCAGGGGTCATCCACTAGATTAGCCTTTGCAATTTGGATGATCCCAACTCGCTCTCTATTTTGTTGTTACAAGTTTTCTTTTTTTCCTTAATTGTACTGCCTATGTAAATTTAACCTTCATGTCATGTAAAACAGAGCTGAGAGCTGAGTTTAACAAATCATCATCTCATCTCTCATCTCATCTGCTGTGCAAATCTCGAGCGTCTTGACGCATGGTGATAGGCGGCTATGCGGAAAGTTAAATTTCTTCCGCGAAAATAGTTTTCTGCTATAAATTAAATATTGAATCAATTTTCGGATGCGGAGAGGACAGGTACACCAACATAATCGTGTTTTTCGAATAAAATCAATAGTAATAAGATTCGTGAATCCCTTCGAAGCATGAAGACTTCCATGCACAGAGAATAGTCAAAGCACAATTCATTATCAGTCGTATAAGTACGAT